ATGATATAGTTACAAAAGTTAGACAAGGTCCTTCAAAAAGATAATTGCAAAACTTTATGAGGAAAACTCATCAGTTGATACTCAATAATGACAACAATGTGTGATATCGTCAATCAAAATTTATACATATTTGTGAGGACTTCACATAACTTGCCATAAATAACAGAAAAGACTTGTCAAACGAAAAAACCAGCACATTAAACACCATTCACCGGTTCTAATCTAAAAGTTATCACCTTGTCCACCCATTTTAACTCATGTTCAGCTTTTGGAGGGGCGGCTATTCTCTTTTCATAGAAAGTGGCGTTATCGTCGCGATCGACCACAAGTATGCTATGAGATCTAGTGCCATATCGTCTCATTTCCAACGGAAATTTCGTCATAATTGCAGTTGAGTGCTGATACCACTCCGGCGGTCGACCAGTTTGCAAAGCCATTTGTGGATCTGGGAAAAACCTAAAAAAGGAGATAGGTTACGGCGCACTGAGACAATAAAATCCCCTTGAGTGGCGCTTACTTCGTTTCATCCGTTCCTATCATCAAAAGTCGTTCGATGATTTCTTCTATTGTAGTTTCGTCGTTTAAAGTTGCCACAAACTTCTCGAAGAGTTTTTTGCCTTCGCTAACTTTACGATATGGTTTCTCGGGTGGACTATTACCCCAAACATAGGTACCTGAAACACAAATATAGAGATTTTCAAGTCAACACAAAAAACCCTTTGCTTAAAATCTATTGGATTACAACTCTCATATGCCCTAGAGATCATCATATGGTCTATGATACTGAAGCAATGAGGATTCTTATATTGATTACAAGGGTATTTGCGCGGATTTTCAAACACATTCGCAATCCTAGCTTTATGAATGTAAAGACAAAATTTGTAAATATCTGACACAAAGTTGAACTCAATTGTTCCGGTGCCAAAAGTATATGTTTGATTTCCACTTAATATTCCAACACTTCATTTGGTAGGTTTTGTGGCGTAATATTTTACGGTTAATATTTCTTCGTTCTTATGATGCCATTCGTATTTTCAAATTATCGAAAAAAACGCTATAGTAAAATTTCTCCTCAAGTGAAGGAAAGAGGGCTTATTCGTCTACACAATGTATCTCTTCAAAATTAATCAGATAAGGTTAGTCTAAGCCAAAAGTGCTAAACCAAAAAGTACGCCTTTGGAAAAAGTTACAGGAAAAAAGGCCAATTTTAGAAGAAGATTAAAGATGCCAGGGGAACTGCGCCAATTTCGTCACATCCTCATTAGCCTCAGACCTTTATTGGTAGGACATAGAAAAGATTTGCTGACCTGGAGGCCACGATCGTGGCTTCACCTCATCAACATACATACTCGTGATTGAAGTCATATTATAGATATCTTTGTCGTTCCTAAAACAACAAACAATAGAAAAATCCATATAGTAGTACGACAATCTGATGTTCATGTACCTCTCTAAGCCAACGAACTGGAAACCATTATAGAGATGAGCTTTGTCCGATAAATCGCCAAAGTATTGTTTAGTTGAAGCTTTCGTTCTTAGGTAGTCTCTAGCTATCTCACCTAAAACGAGCTTATTTGTTGCAGTGGTAACAGCTTTGAGAGAGCAAACATATTGATATTGCATCAAAACAAAACAGGCATTGGGCTTAATCTCATTTTTTCTTCATGCAGCATTTGATATGAAACTGTTTTGTTTACAAAAGGAAAATTCAAAAAGTTCCTCTTGATTTTAGGATCAAGATGG